CAAGGTCTTCGAAAAGTCAGCAGCTAACTAAACTCGTTCCGGTGAGCACACCTTTTTCTTCAAATCGTCAACCCGGATCTCTCAACTTTGCCAATCTGAACCATTCAGTTGGACATGAAATTTTATTTTCCCTGCCACTTAGGTCTGGTGATGCGTTTGAAAATGCGTATTAACCGCCCGACAGCTGCATTATTCTGTCAAGCAAACGTCTTTGTAAATAGTAAATGCGAGAAGTTGGGCTTTTATGCCACCATTTAAGTCAGCCCATCCTAGAATTTAATGTCAGTGGACGGACCTACTTAAACAGTCCTTCTGTCATATACTGCCCCTTTGAAATAACGCTTATATGCAAAATACCAGGATCCTTATCTTTAAAGCTTTTCTTACAAATGCTCAGGGGGAAGTACGTGCTTTCGCGAAATCCAGACGATTTAACAGTACTTACCGCATATATGTGGTGAGAACACCTTATTGATACCATGAGTGTTCGTGAAAATCGATTTTTTGCCGTGGTCTGACATAGGAGTATAGACCTCCCGTTCTAAAAGTGGCCTCACACAAAGTTCCAGGGTGTACCCATTCCTGTGTCTAACTCCAACCCTAACAACAACCCCCCATAAGCCTAATGCCAATTCTCTAAGCCTAACCCCCGAAACCCCAACCCTACTGCTCCTGGAATTTAGGACTAGTCCACCTGCAGTGCTGGTGGAAGTCTGTATTCCCGTGCCCAATCACTTTCGTAAACAGGAACATAACAGCTGGAAAGTTATTGACAGACGATGTCCACCATGTGCGGCACGGCAGGGTGAGCGCAGGGACGGTGACTTACGCGTGAAGTCGTTTAAACTGACGGTAGTCTTGCGCCGCATCCACTTCACTCCCTCCTCCCTCACCCGTCTTATTAGGGTGTCAAAAGATAGTCAAAATGACCGGAGACGGGGTCAAGGACACTGCGTTTGACAAAGCTAAACTGTCCGCCGTGCATACGACTGGCTCGTGCATGAACTATGTTTTCACCAAAACAACAAACAGGCAGCTCGGGTCCCGAATGAGTAGGAGTACCATAAGGGCCGCATTAGGAAGAAGCCATTACAGCCTGACTTTTCGTCCTAGGAGGAGGAGGACTGATTTATCCCGTCAGTTGACAGCCTTCCAGGCCACGGCCTTTAACAAACCGTGTCAGGGCGTTTAGGTGAGGGATATGCCCTGGGGCCGGAAATGCCAGAGTCCATCACACTCTCTCTCTTCCCTCGTCCAGGCATCAGTCCATCGTCCGCGTCGGCCATCCATCTAGAGCGGGGATTGGGCACAGGTGGCCGGCGCGGCGTGAGCCCGCACCTAGATGTGCCAAAACATCTCCTCATATGTGGCATTTGTAGTGGATGTGAGGTCCAAATAACGCTTTCCAAAGGGGATCTGGCCTCAGTGTTGGTCTAGTGTAACTCCTGTAACAGAAACGTACCACACCGCGAACGTGCAACCATGTCCTCACAATCTTTAACATCCTACGGAAGATTCACATAGAACGAAACTTTATTACGCCCTAGTCGTCAAATATGAAAACGCAGAAGACTACCAGAACGTGCGGTTCAACTGAGCAACACAGTTCGCTTCCTCCAGGAAACTTTATGATTATTCGCATAAGAACTGCGGAATTTTAATCAAGTGTGAACGAAATGCGTCAATAAACCTTCGTCTGAAACCAGAGGTAGGACTCAGCGTTTACAGTTGGTATGAGCAGCCGCAGATCATATGAAGAGCCGAGAATAACACTGGACTATTTCGGTCCAAGCGAAAAAGGGAAGAAAAGTGTCGGTCAAAAAGCACAAAAGGCATCAACATGACATTTCAAATCGAAATATTTGATGCAGTCCACATAGTGAGAAGTTTTTATCATACGAGACTATGTGAGCGTATTTCTCAGTGCATAGCACATTATGACATCTGTACGGGACTCAGGCGGAATGAATATTCCATTAGAAGAGGTGCAAAGACCATCAGAGGTAAACAACTTTAAGCCCCATTTTGGAAGTACCCCCATTGAAAGGAACTGTATCGATAAGCTTGAACAATGTGATTGTCAGAGCATCGTAGAGGGTCTAAATGTTAGGAATTTAGGGAGCTCCCAATTCCATGAGTCCCGTTTCTCTGCATTCGAGAAACAGTATAACTAAAAAGACTCAAACGGTCTTGGGTTTTAGAGCACTAAAGATGCTTTTCGGGCGCAAAAAATGCCGAGGAGGAGGAGGACGACGAACTGGATATCTGTCTAACGATAGTCCCGTGAGCACATGACACTAGACACCGACTGGAACCCTCATATCCCTCCTTTGAGGTTAGGGAAGTTGAGTGTAGGGTTTATCGCTGAGAAAGCTCCCGGGTAGGGATAGGCTATGTAACCCCCTTGAGTGGTTTTACAAAAATTTACCTTCTCATTCTATCTAGGTAGGTGTGGTGCGACCCCAAGGCACAACAGGACGAGTGAGTCCTGTCGCGCGATCTACCATTGTACACTCCAGATATCGCAACCGACAGTACAACGAGCCCGTGGGCTAGTAGTTAGTACAATGGACTCTTAACAACCAGGTCGCGGGATCGAGTTCCAGTGGTTCAGCACTTCGGGCTTGCGTATGGCTGGCTGACGGCGACCAATAAACCAGAAATGGCCATTCCAGTGTCCACCGTTTTTGTTGTTAACGCTATTCTGTGGTTCATTTCGGTCTGCCTGACGAAAGATCCGTAAATGAGTCATGCAGTAAGTGGATTTTCATCTTCACCAGCGTTATTGACACGAAAGTTGCCCGGATCGTACTGAAGATCAGGGTTAGGCATACGGTTGGAGTTGGGGTTAGTATCAGGGATTGGACTACTGCTGGCGCTGAGGTTGTCAGGCTTGGGTTATAGTCTGCATTTGCGTGTGAGGCTAGGGTTGGGGTTTAGAATTACGGTTAGGATCTTGGGCTAGAGTTTTAGGGTTTGGGTTAGGGATATAAGACTTAGGGTTAAGGTTGCAGTTTCGCTCCAGTTTTCCCAAATGCTTACGTGTTAAGGATTAGGGTTATCTGTCACAGCCATGGTCATGGTTGGCGTTAGGGCCATAGTTAGCTACGGTTTTCGCATGGGGTCTATATACCATACCCTTTCCAAATACAACACACTGAGATAAGGACAAGACTCAACTCTCATGTTGCATAGCTTGTCATACTGACAGCACAGGTAATAACCGAAAACCCAGACAGGTGTTCTGCCGATATTCTGCCGTTACACGAAAGTGCTTCGTAAGATTCGGCTCATCATTGTGCCTCCGAAGTTTCCCGCGTGTTTTATGGTAGATACCTCAGTTTTGAAATGTCAGCTTTTTGAAATCACCTCAGAAATTAATAAAAATACCAGACTAAATCATTCAGAATGAAGCCTTATAGAGTCAATCCGAAGACTGATATGAGTATTTGAGAGGGAATCCATCAACTGCGGTGGGTAAGCGGTGTAATAGGCCTCAATTGCTAACAGGCAGCACTGGGGAGCAACCCTTAATCTTTTTTTTGATGACGTATTTAAGTAGGACTACCAGACTACGCATCCCCGTCACTTTACTTTTTTCCTATCAGAATTTGCAGCTTTACCTTCTTGAAGTCGTCGCTTCTCCGCCGGCCGTTCTTTGCATTTACAGTTATGGGCAACTCATTCACCTGTGCGACCAAAGTCTTGCCCCATTCCCGCTTGTCAGACAACATTTGTCATGTCACATGACAGAAAAGTTAAACGGGAACTAATCGTGCTCCAATGTGATTTCCCACCTTGGTCTTCCCTACTTTCAAAAGGCACCTTTTTCTCAGCCAGACATTGCACAGCAATAGTGGTCCTGTCCTTAAATTAACTTACGTGCATTAAAATCCCAGTCGCAGGTTGTGGGCTCTGTACTGTACGGGGACACTATGCTGCAGTCCACCGGCCGCAGAGAAGAAAAAGAAGCGGGTTACGGCTGCATGGACAAAAAGTACCCCTTAGCGAGCCCTATCAAGGAAAATTTCGCAGAGAATTTTCGTCATTTTTATCACCTGATATTCCGGACTCGCACTCGAATCCACTATCAGAGACAAAAGTTTACAACTCGTTTTTGATTCCGTGCAGCTTCTTAATGTACCGATATGTAGACCAGCTTGTTAGAAAAAGCCACGTAATTATGCCTGTAGAAGTAATGCAAAGTAACCATAGCGGTTTGATCAGTTGCCGCGAAATTCTCACTCCGCATTAGCCGCTGAAACTACCGGATCAAAATAGCCACAGGTGTCTTTTATTTTGAAAAGATGACTAATATAAAATCCGAAGGGGGGGGAGGGGAGGAATGCAGAATGCAGCCTCAGTTTCATCCCTATAATGTTTCCTGAGTATAGTTTTGCAATCAGTTACTGCAAGCCCATGAAGAAAGCACCTTCCCCTTAACATGTATTTATCCTTGTGTTTGTTGCCTTAACGCATTTAACTGTTTGTCGAAAAAAGTGTCTCATATTTGTATGGCACAGTAGTTTTAGGGAGTCAGTTCTTTCCTAAATCTCATAAGTGAGTATGAAAGATTTTACTTAAGCCTTTGCTAAGCATGGATTTATTTACATCTTCCTAAAGGTGCTGAATTATTGGTTTGACAAAAAGCGGCCTACAAAAGCGGCAGCCTACAAATGCGGCTGCCACCACAGTCTCAGGAACTCCAGGCATGATTGGACACAGTCAACACCTACCCTGGCTTTACCAGTGGCTACTGTCGCCTGAGAGAACAACTCTTGGTTCTGTGCAGATAAACCCCTCATTCTGGTACCTTCCATCTCTCTGCTACCAACACTACGATAAGCCCTGATTATGGTGCCGCTGTGATTGCAAACATTCTCACTGCATAACCACCACAGATCCATGACTACTTTTTTCTCTGCTTTCTGCGCTGCGGACCCCAACTTGGGCTCCTGCTCAAAACGAAACGAGGTTTTCTTTCGTTTAGCTCAGTTTTAGGAAGCCACTAAGTACAAGATCTGACATTTCCCATGGCAGATTATTTCGGTGAGGGAGCATAGTTCTGAGGCGAGTGTTTAAGCCTGAATCAGATCTAATAGCGCGGGTTGCTCCCAACACTGGCAAGATCGTGGCGCACTGATGCAACCGGTTGAAGCAGCGTCTTCCGATTCAGGCTGTCCCCCACCCCCGTTCCCCGCCAGTGTACCTAGTCCGCAGTTGCATGGGGTTTAGAGGGCTCGAAGAAAGATGCGTCCGCATAGGCTCAATTCTGGGTCCATCTGGACGGGGCCTATCTTCTTCCTGCCTCCAAGATGCTGTCACTTGACGACAGCTGATGGAAGAAGGGCATCCAGCTCTTCACTTTCCTGATAAAATGGGGAGGGGTGTCTCAAGTGCCTCCGTGTTCTACTCCAATAAGTGAGCACCTTCTGGCTGGAATGTTCTCACACAGACCAGCGATGAGGTGTGCTGCATCCGACCAGACCTGCACTACTCTCTTTCTCTCATCTCCACAAAATCAGAATCTCGCGTGCACACACACACACACATGCCTTTCCTGCTCAGAGACTGTAAAGTGAATTGGACCGAAGGAGTGTTCGCTGACGCAGGGCTTCTGAGACTAGGTGGTGTCGGTTACGTGTGCGCCTCGATGATGACGCATGCCGGCTTGCACGAGAGGCCATGCCAACACACAGACAAGCGATTATGAGCAACAGCGTACATGCACACACGCAAATATATAAGTTCGTATGTACGGGCTGTGGTACCCCACCAACACCACAAGCAACAGCCAGCGAGAGCCGAACTCGAGCAGTAACACCTTCAAGATGAGTTTTTTCTCGAAAAAACAATCCACAACTGTGAATATCGAAATCGCGGACAGATGTGAGTTCGGTTCTTCTCCGCCTTTTTTGTTTTGACTTCATTTCACAAGTTTTTATTTGACATGAAAGAATGGGTTTAACCTTTCTCCGAGACTGTGGGAAAGAATGATAAGCGTAAAGCAGAGGAAGGACTATGATTCCTGCTGACCGCAACATGGGGGTTTCATCTACGGACGCCAGTCGTATGGAAGAACGTTAGGAACGCCTCGTGCTGTACTTGCACAGGTCTCATTCTAGGTCCCAGGCCTGGAAAGGAGACCTGGTTGTGTTTATGCAGTCAACTGAACTAACACGAATAATTACTAAAGTTGCGAGTTCGGTTGAAGTCATGTACTCGGGACGAACGCTTTCAGGTTAAGTCCAAAAGGTGGTGCAAATATGTCGGCTACTTCGCATCATTCTCAGCGGAATAAGGGGCTAGAAAATTGGCATATTTTAAGTTTGAATGTAATAAGTCGTTTAACCAGGCACGTACTTCGACGCCTTTTTGAAACTCTGTCTGACCTATTTGTGAGACCGTCGACCTTTTAGGGGTCTGTTGACCTCCCGCACACGGTTTCTGGCGCTCAGTCCAGTTTATAAGTGTCAAACTTCAACTTCCATCACAAATTAATGTCCGAGCGTGTGGTAATGCCCTAGTAACAGGTCTTTTTCAACCTTGTCCTCAAATCAGAGCTGAATTTCATTGGCTTCAGCGCAAAACGGTGAGTCTGCGTTTTGATGTGGCAGCGATTTATGGCGGTAGGGGTGAGTCTAACCAAGGTACATTCATTCGCCATCGAGGACTCTGCCCATATCCCTTGACAGTTAAAAAATAATCAAGAATGGAAGACACAGGTAGTTTCAACAGGGTTGCACAAAGTTTAGGAATTGGGGGTGTTTTTATTGAAATCTGTGCTGAAAGGCGTAGTTGACTGCCGCTCTCCACCACGAAATGCTCTGCCAGGTATCATGAAAGGGTGGCGACGCAGACTGGACAAAAATACCGGTAGCACCTTGCCGGGAGAGAAATGGTCTACTGTTCTGCCTTGTTGGTTGGAGAGTGACTACACTAGTCGAACTTTGTTTTGGCAGCAGGTGGGGTTGTGAGAGTCATTCCCACACCCTTCAGATACGGCAAAAAGGTGTCTCTTCTACTTAGAGCATGTTGGAACACGCAAATCCCTAGAAGTCAAATGCTGATGATGAGTTGGCGAAATAAGGGCTCCATAAAACGACCGCATGTTTTGGATCTTTAAATAGAAAGTGTTAAAATGTCCTGGACAATTCCATAGTTTTTCGAGCACTAGGAGAGGCATATGCACTGCCTCGGTATTCCTGGTTAGCAAGTAACAGTAATATCAACAGCATCTGGAATATACAGTGAGGAGAAGTCAGTTAGGGCGTCAGTTTACTCCGTTAGTTTAAAGTGAGGAAATATTATCATTCTTGCATCGGTTTCCTTAAAATTACCGTGTTGCAGCTTCTGTAAAAGCATGAAATGTTAATAGACATTCCGAAATATTCCTTCGATTGGAAAGGGTTAATTAGTCATGGTTGAGAGATCACTATAATCTCACGATGTTTTACACGTGTCACGAGGTTTTACACGTGTTGTACACGTGTCGAGTACAGTTCTTTTCGGCCGTTGGAAAAACTGCACCCGGTAAAAATTACTGCTTAAGTAGTTTCCCGTTCTTTAATTGGTTTTCAGTGGTCTCATAAATTCAAATATATTTCCCAGAAAACATGCCCAAAAATATTATTTGGTGTAATCTTTTGGTAGAAAATCGCGTTTTCTCCAAATTCCACATCCGAAAGTGGATATCATTATGTTTTGAAGAATTCCCACTTCCCGAATATTTTTGAAGTCGACCTGCAAACGCATTTGCGCTTGGGGTTTCCAAGCTAGATGCCGCATGCTCTCCATGTAAGGATAACCATGCATGTCATTGAATTGTTAAGAAGACACCATATGGTGTTCATGGACTTTTCAATAGATGTTAACCATGTTTAATTCTTCACAAGCACCAGTAAAAGTAGCCAGACACGAAGATGTGTGGATGAACATTCCACGATCTTAAATAATCTCATAATTACAAACCGCTTATGTCGGCACTTATTCTTTCATCAACGGTAAAATTCAAAGAAGACATAATTAACCATAAAATGACAACAACAAAGAATATTTTATGCATGTCTTCCCCAAATCATAGTCAAATATATATGGGTGTCGAAAATCAGTGAGGAAAATTCACATTATTCCGGTAGTCATCTTTTGTGGTTTCTGCAAAAGCGAGTTGAATACTTCACGGTGAACCGACAATTACTTGCAAATGTCTACACAGGACAAAAACACAACAGTTGAAAATAGCCTTAACGGGTGGCGTAGAAAATAAAGACCCATTTTTAAATTCATCTTTGTATATTTTGTAGGGGGGCAAGGAAACGGTGTGTCTGATTGGGCCCACATCCTGAATATAAAAGAGGAGGTTCTCAAAGTATGGCGTCTGTCGGTGAGTAAAATTCCCAGTTTCTCTAGTTGTTTTCGATCTTTAAGCATTTTCAACCAATACTGCCAGTGACTGGAAGAATAGGACAGTGTTACCGAAAATCCACCCGCGATAACTATATCGAGATGAAAAAATTCTCAGTAATCAAACACTACGTTAATGGAGTCAACCGACCCTTGTTATCTAGTTACTCAGTCTAGACCACATTATGCAGCAGAACAACTGAGAATCTCCAAATGCCTCCGGTCGGTAATGAAAACGAAAGTTCAAAATAACGATCAAACCCTGATTACTAAAAATGTCAGCCTAGTTTCTACGTCCGTATGAATGTAGAGGGATAAAACTCGATAGAAGCAGCCAAATGAAGTTTGAACCAGTTATGCGATACTAAGGGGAGCTCCGTTGAACAATAAACTTTTGTGAAAACGCATGCCATTTCCGAGGTACTTTTCCTCTGAGACACGGTCAGGTGCTATTCACTGTTTCAGAGCGATGGCACACCTTTGGCAATCCCTGACAGCGATGTAGGATACTTCTTCAGCGATGAGCTTTTCGTCGTTCTAAAGACGATGTACAAGAATGCCAAACTTCACTACTATATCCACTTCTGGATTGGGAAGGATCTGGCTGAGGTGAGTGTTCTTCAGACAGTTTTGTCTTTTTAAGTTTGCTACTAATTTTCACCAAATAGTATAACGATATTCTGTTGGACAAAGTTAAGGTTTCGAATGCTCTACCTAAGAGAGTTCAATAGAAAGTTTATATATTAGTTGGATGTTAATTTAGGTGTTTTTTTAAATGGATTTTGGGTAAGTATATAGGGTTTCATATCCGGATGCTTCGACACCAAAACTGCTACTTAAACTGACAAGAAACACTACAATAAAGGTTTTTTAAAAAGACTTGATAAAGATAGGGCCCTTATTCAGCGAAAAACGTAGGTTGGGTTTATAAACTATAGAACCTGAAGGTTTGGTCTGGGCGAAATCGAGAATCCTCATTTTTCATGAGGCCATATTTCTGAATTCTATCTCCAAACCCTAAAACGCAAAAACCCTATGATACTGTAGATATAAAGTCACTGCTGCAATGTCGGCTTTTGCTAGTGTTAACGTGCTCTCCCTCGTATAATTATGGGTAGTAATAAACTCAAGGCCGTGTGCTGAAAGCGGGCAAAAAGCCTAGAGTCTTTTAACTATTTCAAAGGTAGTATTTAACTTCGCAATTATTTCGTTTTAAAGTACAAGCAAGAGCAAACGTTATCGTCCCTGAGTACAAACCGCCTACTCTATTTATCTTATTTAAACAACACGGGCAGCTTTCGGGTCATAAGCGAGCCTCAAAAAAGGTCACTTCATTCTCGGATTAGATAAACGCCTTTCTACTCGTTTGACTACTGCACTAACACTCATCCTCGTTCTCGAAAAGAAAGAGTCTGGTTAAAGTTTATTTACGAGGTCAAAAAGAATCCATGCGCATTGCTTACCGCTAGATTTCCCATTTACTTAATCTCGTTCTCGTTTTTTTGCTGTGCATAAAATTTGGGATATAAGTTCTCAATCATCCTGTGCCAGTACTAACTATTAAACAGAACAAATACGTTTAGCGGCTACGGAAGTCTCAAGCGGTTGACACATGATTGACTGGACGGCAAGTGTCATGAGCTCAAATTGCAAATCTTAACTTTGGTCGGTGAAATTGTTGATCGTATTTTCTAAAAAACTGGGTTTCAGATTTGTTCTCCATTCAGACAGTCTGAATGAGGCAAATATTTGGTGAGTTCCGCCTACCATGGAGACTGATGAAAATTGAGGAGCCCCTACGACTGGGCCAGCGTTACTGTGGACCACAGGAAACTTTCAATTCCTCATAATTCGCAGTTCATTTTTTGAAGAAAAAATATCTCAGCGGGCATTTCATAGAAGTGTTCTAAGCACTTATGTGATTGAAGGATCTTGGATTTGTGTGCACCTTTGCAAAAATGTCATCTTCAATGTAGGCTTGTGTCAAAACCTACACGACACTGCACCCTGTATATTTCCTTAAGCGGCCATCGTGGTAATGCTTCATTTTAACATTTACATGTCCTGTCCTGGTTCACTTTAAGAAGGACAAATTTATCTTGTGCTATTAAAAATCCAAAAGTACAGCGTATCGGCAAGGGAAAATTAATACTTATATGGCTTACTTACTGCTTTATCTTAAGAGAAGGATCTCGATTGTCCGTAATAAACATTTTCTCTGAAAGAAATGATACTCATCACCCCTATATATCTCAAAGGCTTTCTCGTCTTCCTTTAGGAAATGCCACCAAGTCCCCCGTCCAAGGTGGCGGAACTGATGTCCGTCCTTAATGACAAGGTTGTGCTCTACCGCGAAATTGAGGGTTTCGAGTGTCCTCAATTCAAGCGTTACTTTAAAGTCTTCGGGTAGGTCTCTGATCCACTCTTTGAGGGATGCCTAATGGGTGAGCGGGAAAGAGTTGGCGGCAATCGCACATGCCATCTGTATCCACTGATGTTTAAAGGCTCCACTTTGAGCATATTACGATAAAAAGAACACGTCTGCCAAAAAACTGACACTTGACAAATGTGAAGGTGACAGTATGTTTAGCATTTAAGCGGTGCTGACTTAACCGTCTCAACGCGAGCCAAAGAAATCTCACGAGCCTACCTATAGAGCGCAATCGACAGGACTACGGACCCGTGGTTCATATGACAGAGCGCTAGGCTTGTGGTCACAATTGGGTTTGGAGCGCGGGGTAGATGTTCCACTTCCTCGTCCCCCCCCACACTTGGCATTGAGTCTCTGCGTGTGTATCGTCGAGTTGCTTTAGTGTAAAACGCCGATAGGTTGTGTTTAATACACTGTAACATGGTAATATCACCATACACTATAGCTGTGAGTAATTTGTCATAATGCCACATAACGACGAGGTGGCATGTAATGTGACGCTGTCGGTGAGCGCACTTCCGATCGCAACCAACAGGACGACTGGCCCGTGGCTCAATTGGTAGAGCGTTGAGCTTAATAACGTTTTATAGCCAAAGAAAGCGAGTTTGAGGCTCAGTCGCGGAAAGGCCCGGGTTTGGGTAAGATTGGCTGGCGACGACTAAAACACCAGAAATCATCGTCCCGGCTTCCTCTGTTTTTTGTGGGTACTCGTTCCGCCAGCGCAAATGTGACATATATGCACAGTAATCATATGTACTATGCATGTGGGAGAGTATATAGTACGTATAATACAGTATGTGTATAGAAGTTTAGATGTATGTTCATAGTTTCTATATGAGGTCCTCGGTATAAGCGTTAGGCAACTCGACATTGGGTAGTCTGACGTTTCATTCGGCTGGAACACACTTTGGGTAGGTACATTTACTTGCTTCCTAAACATTTCAGTGCTACACTCTAGAGTCGATAGGCCTTTTTAGTCCAATCGCTTGCGGACTAGTGGGCGCTGCTACCGCTGAGGTTACAAAAACGTAGGGAGAGCCGATGCATTGAAAAATATGGACAAACAATTTGTGGCATTTTGCCGTTGTAGCTAAGAACTTAATCTGTTAAGGGGCGAGCCATGAAAGTTGCAGATATGTCAAGGCGGGGACCACTTGGAGGCGAACGTAACGGGGTGCGACAGAAGTGACCCACTGTTCAAGATATCCTGAAGGGGACCCGTATCGCAGACCACGGATTTCGTTGAACTAGAGGTTGGCTGCCTTGCAGGCCTGCCAATGCCTGTTTTCCCTGGAATTCCCCCTTCTGAGCGTCCACTTGCCCCCCAGGAGTGGTTCTCCTCTCTCCATTCATTCAGTAATTGAAACTGCGTGTTCAACTCTCGGCTTAAAGTATACTTCCGTGTTTTGGCAGTATCGCCACGGACTTTTACAACGTTACATCCAACGTGTACTTGCCTGCTCTTATTGCCGACCGCAACCGACAGGACGACTGGCCCGTGGCTCAGTTGGTAGGGCGTTGGGTCTAAAAACACTCGATGGCCAAAGAACGCGGGTTCGAAGCTCAGGCGTGGCAACACCTGGACTCGAGTGAAACTGACTGATGACGACTAATAAGCCAGAAAGGGCCGTCTCGGTCTCCTTCGTCTTGGCTCGTTTCGAAAGAAATAATTATATGTTACTCGTGAACAACACAGTAGCTGTGACAGTTACGAATGTAAAATAAATCAGGTTAATCGCGGCAGCTTGCCCGCTGCACACAGAGGGGTGTGGAAAGAAATAATTTTGGAAAGGAGGCCTGAAAATAGCACTCTGCCCGTCTACATGTTGCTCCGTTAACCTTTTTCGACAAAATAACACCTGAAGCCGACCTACTTAGACTGCCAAATGATAGTAGGTATAAGCATTCAGACAGAGGTGGTCCAAGAAAGGCGTATTGGTTAACAGAGCAACTGTTTGAGGATTAGTTTTGTCCGTTTCCGCCGGTAAAACCTCAACCAACGTGTATGACTGAGAGCGCACAGTTGTACATGTGTGCCATCTGGCAGGGGGTATCATCTCAGTTCTGCATATATTTGCCAGTTCATTTCAGGTGACGTTGGCTTGACCGCATAACGGCCTACTAAGTGCTTGTCCAACTGTGATTTCTGACCAACCAGGACTGAGGCTGTTTGACCCTGAATCTATTTTGTGTCTGAGTAAATATCCAACGACGACAGACTGATGGGGGGGGGGAGCATGGCTGGAACTGCGACCCGATAGTTTTGAAGCACCAGCGCCTTTACTTTGCCTGTAAGAACACCACCATCTGTGCCTGCACGTATGCTGCTTTGGCCTAGTTGGCTGGGGAAACACGGAAAGGCCTGAAACGGCTAACGGCTCGGTCCCTCCTGTCGCAAAGGGTTTATCTCCCTTGGTTTTCCAAAGTGTCCTCTATTCGCAAACCTTGCCGCCGGATTCGGAGACATCAAAGTCTATGCCTGTATGCCAGGATGGCCTTTTTGTGCAGAAGTCAAGCAATTTTACGGTTTACAGGCGTTTTCTGCCCACCCGCTTATGCTACTGTTAACTCCACAATTCAAGCAAGCTTGTAGTACCCGAACTTTACTGAGTTATCCAGACGGCATATTTGTATTCGCATTTAAAAGCAGTGCAGATCCTAATTGCGTTCCTCTTTTTAACCTACTCAAGTGTCCACAAAGGCTCCATCAAGGATGTCTTCGACCCCAAAAACCCAAAGGCCTTCAAGCCAAAACTGCTGCATTTCCGCCTGAACAAGAAAGTTAACCGAACGGAAATGTATGAGGTTCCGATCAGCTGGAAATCCCTAACCTCGAACGACGTCTTCATTTATGACGAGGGTACTAAGATGACCCAGTGGAACGGGAGCAGATGCGACGAGGAGGAACGACAGGCGGTAGGCATTGACACAGCTTTTCAATGATGTGTTTTTGATCGACTTGAGGCCCAAAGGGATGGATAGCATCAACAAATGTCATTATAGAGCGTTTCTTCACACTGGCCGTCGCACACTGTAATTCAAATGATTTAACTGGGTTCAAAGTCAACAGCTAATGCTAAAAGTTTACTTGTTAGCCGACCCATTGGCTTCCCGAAGCTAACAAGCTTCGTATGGGTGATAGCTATCAGGAACAGGCAACCACCTACCAGGTCGAGGTCGGCCAAACTATGATATATATATATTTTTTTAAAGTTATTATACCGTACTCCCGACATAGATACTTGCTAAAAGCCCAGACACGTGTTTCGCCGATATTCTGCCGCTGCGTGACACAGCTGCGAGGGGTTCGGCTCTTCAGTGGGACCCCCAGCGTTCTCTAGCGGTTTCTGGTATATGAACTCCAGAGAATAATCAGGTGAATAATTTCAGAAATTAATCAGGTGCAGGACTTGGAGTTAAATCTCCGGGACATGACTTTTTAGGGTCAGAACCGAAATTTCAATGAACATTTGAGTCGAAGACAATCAGCTACTGTGGACTAACCACGTAATGCCCATTCTACAAACAAGTAGTGCTACGAGTAGAAAGAAATTCATATGGTAAAGGTATTATACCGTACTCCCGACATAGTACTGCAAGCCTGAGCCTGGATATGCATAACAGATGACGGCTGATAAGACAGAAGTGGTCATTACAAGCACTTGTCAGTAATCTCCTATCAAAAGTCACTGTGCGACCGCCTGCAGGGCTCAAGATTGAGTCCCATAGCACAGCGGGAAGAGTATGCCCCACAACGCGATCCGTGAGCGCACTCTAACGGATACCCCCGATACAACTTGTCAAGGGTTTGCTCTGAGATGCTGATGGACATTTGAGCGAAATCAATCAAGGTCTGCAGAGTAACCACATACGGTCAATTTTATGAGTTGATATTGCCATCAGTAATGTGATTTTACGTGACAGTTGCTCCACCATACCTTTAACAGGGGGTACCATCAAAAGGCCCAGACGCATATTTCTCTGATGATTCTGCTATTGTACGACGTAATCATGAAAAGCCTGCTTCTCAGTGTGGTTCCCCAGAGTTCTCTATTTTGTTTGAATACATGGATTCCAGATATGAAAACTGCATTAATAATTCCGTCGGGGAGTCACTTATGAGCTGGGCTCATCGCAGCAGCAGCAGCAGCAGCAGCAGCAGCAGCAGCAGCAGCAGCAGCAGCAGCAGCAGCAGCAGCAGCAGCAGCAGCAGCAGCAGCAGCAGCAGCAGCAGCAGCAGCAGCAGCAGCAGCAGCAGCAGCAGCAGCAGCAGCAGCAGCAGCAGCAGCAGCAGAGGCACCGTCGAAACACATGCGCGGGCTTTTCGCCAGCACTCTTGCTGGGAGTTTAGTGGAGTCGCTGTCAGTGTCGGGGGACATGGCACTGGTAAACTCCGATTCGATGAACCGCTTATGCCACATCAGGTAGACACAGGCTGTGGATCATCTGATCCCTAGTAGTCACATTCCCTTTAGAAAATGCTCTCAAAAAGATAAATCGTCATGACTGGTCTGGTAAGGTCAAATAAGACAGACACGAACTACATAGGAAGGTGAAATTTCGAGTTCACAGCAACCACCCGGTGGCTCGCAAACGAAGCTGTGTGAAAACGCTCTTCAGACGGATCCAAACTCATTTCAGCAAACTGGAGGACAGATCACATGAGGCCCGTTATCTTCGCCACCAGTTTGTGCAAAATGGCTATCCAAGGGCATTCATAAGTCGCTGCCCACGCGGTCGCCTCCAGAGGATTCGAACCTCAACACTACCGACGATATGGCATTCTCTGGCATACATCAAGGGCGTTTCACAAGCGACCGAGCGCACTGCTGCGGAGCTAGGTGTTGGAATTGCATACCGCCCCAAGGCCACCATGTGCAATTGGGTCCTGAAAATTAAAGACCTGTTAAAGCCTGAAGAGCAATTTGGAGTAGTGTATCGCATCCCGTGTCAAAAATGTCCTTGTAACTACACAGGCCAGACTGACAGCATGCTCAGATCGCGCATGCGCGAACATAAGCTGGCTGTGCGACGAGGCGACACATAATCACAAGTTGCCGCCCACACCTACGAAATGGGTCACAAGTTTAACTTCGCAGCCACCAAAATAGTCGCCCACGCCGGAAACAAAACAGGCCGAGAATTGATTGAAGTCTGGACCTCGGATGAGAACTTAGTCAGTCGATTTATCGATCTGACGTCGACGTACAGGGCCCTGCGCAGTCACCCCCACTCTTGCGCCGTCAGTCGATGATTGCACGAAGTGCCCTATAGCTGTCGCTTGTTCTGTTGCTGCTACTGTCTCTGACGATGGACTCCTGCACGAGTTCAAAAGCTCAGGACAATAAAGGAAGTGTTCCGGTACTCGACCCCTCTTCTTCTTCTTCTTCTTCTTCTTCTTCTCCTTCTCCTTCTTCTTCTTCTTCTTCTTCTTTTTCCTCCTCCTTCTTCTTCTTCTTCTTCTTCTTCTTCTTCTTTTTCCTCTTCTTCTTCTTCTTCTTCACCAACCATGTAGTTTGTGAAAGTATAACCCGAATGTCAGAAAAACATCAATGAGTAGTTTGTTTTGAACATTAATTACCACCAACTGCACCCATTATGTCTTTATATTTCCCCAAAGAACATGGTTTTTCTTTTCCGTCTTTGTATAGGCGAGACACTACATCTCTTCTGCACTCAGGAGGCGTAATTGCAAGGCAACTTCTGAGTTCTTTGATGAAGAAGATCTGTTCGAAAAGGTGAGAGACCGATCTATTTAGCAGAAAGCTTCGAAATGCATTGATAGTTATCGAATTGCGAACAGGCAAACTCTTCTCACCTCGTTTTGAATGCGTCTAGACGCCTGAGCTCAATAGCCAAGGTGTCAAATGAACAGGCTGAAGCTAACAAGCTCTCATGAAGAATTATTAATCAAGTACTTTTACTTGCCCTTGATAACACAGAATGAACTCCGTAGCAAATTGGGTGAAGCGGAGGTACAGCCCAGGAAGGTGAAACAGGATAAGAAGTCGTTCAATAAGGTAATGCTACGGTAAGTCCCAATTTGCAGAAAATAGTCTCCCTTCATTGGTAGAACTCGGCAAACAGTTTTTTTTTCTGTCCGTGGAAGGGTCAATCTTCCGTCAATCAGGGATTTTTCCGTGGCATCTTCGTTAAATTTTTCTCTCGTGTCGCTGAGCTTCTGGGTCCCAAGGGTAAAGAAGGGAGGGACTCTCAACTCCTGGATATGGGCGAATTGCCCTTTAACAATGAATTTTAAAATTGAATAAGGCAAGCCGTTTTTAAAGGACTAAAAAAGACCGTGTTGGGCACAAAGAAGATGTCGCAGAACACTAATACTTCTACCGTCACGGAGTCATAACATGGGAGTGCATACTGATAACCTTGCTTAATAAGCATGCCAAAAAACGTTTTTAATCGTTTTGGGGGTTAAATTTCTGGGATTTTCTGTCATCTACTATTTTCCTTGTTAATTGCATCCGAAAGTCTGTTTTTATGACCCCAGTCTTGTCATTTGCAAGGTTACTATTTCCGCCTCCAATGGACGACAGCTGAAGGCATCCTGGATGATTTAAAAACTAGATGGTCATTCCCCGCCACGTTCGCCCACGCGGAGACTAATAGCAGAAAAAGTGGATATGGCGATTTTTTAATACCGTTTAAGTGAACAGAATGTCAGAGCCTGATTCAGAGTCATTTTTGCCGAGTGTATTTGGAGAGACACGGTAACCTTAGGACAAGACTTACCCGAAATTTTTAAACAAGATCAAGATGCCAAAGTTACTCCTCTTTTCTTCCCATTCAAGTCTGTCTGACGAGACGGGCAAACTGGTTCTGACAAAGGTCTACAGCGGCAAGGTCTACCGGGACGGCATCAACCCAAATGATGTGACCTTCGTGGAGGATGCCAAAGTTCTCTTTGTGTACATCGGCCCAGGCACCTCAGAAAACGAGAAGATCAGTTGTTGGGATCAGGCGGTGGTAAGAACGAAACATTTCTGCCTGCCATTATTGCTTCAGTGGGTTATTATGCTGAAGATATGGACACAAGGAAATCCAACTTTTTCCTTCTTACATGCATATGTATACTTTGTTCTGCAGTCGTGAGTTGTTGTCAGCTAAGATCAGGCAGACTGGAGTGAACGGCTGTGACTCACTTGTCGCTGCTGGTTACCAGTCAGGACCGCACTCGTCGCCAGGCAGATGCACGACCTGGGTTTGACTCGGATGGTAGTCGAGCAAGCGTCCTCTATCATGGAAACATGCTCAAGCTCTGTTTGCTGCCAGCTGTACTTGCCTACCTTGCCCTGATTGCAGGACGGCAAATATGTGTTCCGAGGCCCCGAAAAACGGGCTCCTGTCGATACTGACAGAATAGGTCGGAAAAATAACAGTCTCAGTCTGTATGGCCTTCGCTGACAATACGTATAAGTGCTTGCTCGCAGTCCCTCAGGCGCCTATAGGAGCAAGATAAGGGCGATCCAGGGCAGATCAGGGTCCCTTTTCTTCCCTCAGCTCGTCACATGATGCTTACAAGCGACGTAAGGTTTGCAGAATAAGTATACAGGCGCCTGAAATTGCCTAGGGAAAGGTCTACGATTGAAAACAGTCTCGACAGAAGACGAAGATGTGATCACTGGAACAAGAAATTTATTGGCCTGACGTTTCGGATTCTCACTCGAATCCATCATCAGAGACATTCGCAGATAAAGGTGATGGTGGCACAAGGAGTGCAGGATTTATAGCACGTGGCTGCCGTGGGCCCGTAGGCGCACTGTAATTAACAGCTCTCGCACTCACCGCTGCGGTCGTAATCGATGCGATTGTGGCCTGTCAGTCCGAGTCGTTAATTGCCGTGATTTCGTCATCCGTGCTGGATGCTGGTGACGATTGCTCGGCAGATTGACTCACTGTCACTGGGACTGATTCCCCTGCCCAGGGAAAATTTCAGTTCGGAATAGTCTTTCAGTGATCGCATCTTCGTCTTCTGAACTGCCACCTGGAACTCGCCTGTTCGCTTCTATCAACAGTCTCAACAGTTACAAATTTCGAAAAATTGTCTATTTTGTAGAAATATCTGCAGACGGAGGCAAGGCCCAACAAGGCGATTGCCGTCTTCTCTTCCGGGTCGTACCTGCCAGAATTCAATGAGATCTGGGATGACGTTCGGGCCTGCTAAAGTTTCGAAGGCTGCTGGCTGTTGTTTGTCGAACCACTGGACAACCCCAGCCAAGTTGTAGTCATAAACCTTAACTGTGGTTATTTGATCAAATAAATGATGTCTCTCAACGTCTATCTGTTCCCGAGTTTTGAAGTCTGCACTGGGTACCTCAACTTACACGTACTGTGAATTGTCTTCACTAAGTCTCTCTCTCTCCGGATACACCATGTGAGGCGAGCATATTTAGCGGCTGAACAGAGTTTGCGTGGATCGACCTATATACCTGTCAACAGACACAGACGGTTATGGCCCACCGAACTGAAAAAAAGAGACGATCGTTGGGAAATCTCTGGTCATCCTAGCACTTCATTTTGGTCAGGTCTCATTCCCTACCAAACGAACTTAGACTATGGCAAAACGTAGGCAGCCAGGACTAGAAAATCTGGCTAACTCGATGAACAGGCTTCAGCGCGTGTGTACTGAAGAGCTGGTTTGCAGCCCGTAAGGGATTCTCCGCTAGCAAGTTCTTATCTGTCGTACGAATCAATGCTAGACCAGTTGAAGTTTATACAGGAAACTAAACGAGGTTGTTTAACTCAAAGCGAAAGCCGGGAATCCCTGCAAGTCTTGTGTTGTCTCTTGGATGGTCTACCATCTAAAGGCACGTGCTGACGCTTCCTGAATTCCGTCAAAAAATACAAAATATAAAGCCCTTTTACTGCATATTTTAAATCCACACTAAATTTTATGGAAATAACATATATGCCCAACCCCTTTGTGTGAGAACGTGTTGTGTCGTGCAGGGGCGAGGTCGCCTATGGCACGCGTAGACGGGTTATTGAACCCACTTTCGTCCATTCCCAACATCGGATTGCTGATCAACATGGATGGTGGACTGGTGCATGGGATAGGGAAGAGAGAGAGGTCGGATCAACGCAATCCTCACTATAAACAATTTGGCGCGCATTTATGCTATCATGATACGATAAAAGTCGCGCACTGGACGGCTGCCGACTGAGGGGAAAACCCAGTTCTCTTAGCACAGAAGTTTAGGCTTTTTAATACGACCTCTATGACACTTCCACTCAGATGAGATCCGATCCGCCTCCTTTCTTGCTTCTGTGATAACCTGGCCCATCCTGCGCGGACCAGATGTGTTTGGCATACACAGGCGGGCAGTTTAAATTTATCAGCCACTGCGACCGATAGCACCTCTGGTTTCCTTTCTTTTGGCCTGACACCAGGCTCAGATGGATGAGGTTGGGGAGAGTGCGGTGGATACTACTATCATTGTAGTAGGGAGCGCTCGCCGATCGTTCTTGCGGAATTCACTCGTTCCGTTGTGCCTCATGGGCTCTCTCTCGAGCCCAACCAACAGCCGCACAACGGCGCATGATATATGGGCAGAATGACTTTACCGACAAAGACAAGGGAGGCTGGAATGGCCATTTCGGGCATATTAGCCGTAGTCAGCCGGTCATACCCAAGCCCGAAATGTGGAACACCCGAGGCTCGAACTCGCGACCTGTTAGTTAGAAGTCCACGCCTCTACCCACTGCGCCACGAGCCCGTTGTCCTGTCGGTTTTCGATTGGGAATATACAATGGTAGGGGGCGCTCACCGATCGTTCATACGGAACTCACTCGTTCCGTTGTGCCTTAAGGGCTCTCTCGAAAACCGACAGGACAACGGTCTCGTGGCCCAGTGGTTAGAGGCGTGGACTTCTAACTAAAAAGTCGTGAGTTCAAGCCTCGTGTGTTCCACACTTCGAGGTCGGGTATGGCTGGCTGACGACGGCTAATAAGCCAGAAATGGTCATTCCAGTCTCCCTTGTCTTTGTCGGTAATGCCATTCCTGTTACTATCACTATACACTAGTCACTGTCTCTGAGCCCACGTTGTTCTGGGGCACACGGCGAACATCATCGTTCGCGATGGTGGAATTGTCGCATAGTTAGTTAGCTTTGTTAGCTGGTTTCTGCTTACACTGAGCTCACCTAAGTAGTTGGGACCCGTGAAAATAATTCCAACAACTGAGGGCTTTCTCATACCAGGTTTAGGCATACAAATACGCGTGTGTTCTCCTTGCGCAGGCCGTGAAGTTGGGCCTTCATGAACACAGAACGCCGGCAGGTTAGAAAACTAGTAAAATTAAAAGTAAAAGTACACCCTATCATCCAGGTACTTTCTCCACTTGTACTTGATGCGGCTGTAATTATGCCTGGTCTAATTGATCTCGATGATTTCGTTCGGACACTTTAATTAGGTTTCTTGGGAATTTTCAGTACAGGCGAGCCCTTCAACAGCCAGTCGGATTGTTAGGTCGAGATTGCATTTCCTAGCACATTGGCTCAAGAAACTCGTTTCAAGGCAGCGACTGCGGCAATCAAGCTTATTTAATGGAGCCTCACAGTTTTCGGTCGCGTCACCGTGCCGCCATCGCGATTTGCCACCTTTCCTAAAATAGCCTCTGGGCCAGACCTCAGCCCTGACGCGCCCTGGAAGCGCTGTCCCCGTAGCGCCGCTGTAACGTTGCTCCGCGACAGCTTATTAGCCAGACCCGAGGGTCCGCCTAATTCGCACCAAGGCCTCGCTGTAGAGTGCTTCACTGTCCGCCACTTGTGGACGCGCTCGTGCTTCCGTGCTGGATACTTGGATGTGCTGCAATTTTTAAGGGCAGGCTGCGTTCACTTTTTAAACCCAGAACAGAATCCCACAGTCCCAACGAAGGGCCAAAAACTAGGAAAATGGATTTGTTCGTGTGCTTTCAGATCTTTCCTCGAGTCCATCATCAGCCTCTTAAATGGCAGGAACCGATTTTCGCAAATGCAGTGTCAGTAGCGAAGGAGGCACCTTCTTGTCGTCGATCGAAAACACGACCTCGGTTCCACCGATATGCGCAAAAGTGTCTTTCATTCATACAAGGTTCGAGGCCACAGATTGCGTCTATCGCATGAACACAGACATTTCCATCTATTCTGTAATATTAATTCGGATCTGAATTTACCACTGGATGACATCAACATATCGGTAAGTTCGCCAACTGGGGCACGTCAGGAAGACAGTTATACACGCTCACTCCTTTGCCAAAGGTCAGCTCACTTAACCTGCTCGGGCGTGGCAATTTTTGACCCCCTGACATGTCCGACTTTTGATCCCGTTGAGGGTGGCGGCAAACTACTGAGGTCACTGGTGCGCATTAACCGCCTCCAACCTGTAAACAGTGCATTATTGTATCCTAAATATACGAAAAAAACGGACACCAAAGCATTTTTTGCGAAAATGTTTGTTTGGAGCCACCTACCAGGGGTCTTGCAGGTATCCGGAGGGAAGCTGTCCGTTTGAAACTTTTCTACAACCCGAGTAATAGTAAATCGCTTAGGTGTGTTTGTTTGAAAAGTCCTTCCACACTGCTGATAGAAGCAACCACCCGATCAGTCACAAACGCAGTTGCGTAAGGGCGCTATACCGGCGTGTTGAGACGCACTGCAGTGAAATGGAAGACAAGGTTGCTGAATTACAATATCTTCGACGGGTAATGAGAGCCAATGGCTACCCGCGCAACTTTGTCAACCAGTGCATACGAAAAGGACACCAGAGACCAAATCCAACTAGCCCCAAATTTTGGCGGGCTCTTCCGTACGTGAAGAACGTCTCGGAAGCCGTCAGTCGTCTTCTCACTCCCCTTGGAGTTGGTGTTGCACACAGGCCGGAAGCAACCATTAGGCGCCAAGTAATGAGGCCAAAAGACCCGCTGCCACGGCAGGAAACGTCTGGAGTCGTTTACCGGATCTGGTGTAGTTGCGGACAAAGCAATTATGTCGGAGAAACTGGGAGATTACTCCGTACGCGACTTGCCGAGCACGCAGCAGCAGTGAGGCGGGGAGACGCTAACTCTCAGGTGGCGGCACACTCGACGGGACCCGGCCATAATTTCAAATTTCAAGAGGCCGAAATCCTCGCAAGGGGTGACAACCGCGTGAGCCGCGAGCTGCTCGAGTCATGGTTCTCAGGCCCGCAATCCATCAACAAACACAATGACCTCCCGGTGGCCTATACCGTATTGCGATTTTCCCTGGGCAGGAGAATCAGTCACGTGGGGAGGGCGCGGGTGAGCAATTATCACGGTGACAGTGAGCCAGTTTGCCGAGCAATCGTCACACCAGCATCGAGCACGGATGACGAAATTGCGGCAATTAACAACTCGGACTCGGACCGCCAAGCCACCGCCGCATCAATTACGACCCCAGCGGCGATTGTGAGAACTGTTAATTGCAGTGCGCATACGGTCCCACGGCAGCCACGTGCTATAAATACTGCATTCCTGGTGCCACCTTTACCTCTATCTGCGAATGTCTCTGATGATGGGCTCGAGTGAGAACCCGAAACGTCAGGCCAATAAACTTCTTGTCCCAGTGATCGCATCTTCATCTTCCTTCCACACTGTCTGTCTACTTAAACCGTGTTTTCGAACCTCCAGCGTGGATTTCCTTTGCTCGAAGCTTAGACTAACATTAGTGCTTTTAATAGGCTAAATATGAAATGAAAGCAGTATCAACTGGACTCTCAGCTTTCTAAGTGCACATTCACTTTTTGGGACACCCTGTATTTTTCATATTGACCCGACTGTCAAAAACCCGGCGCCTCTGTGGGATTCGAACCCACGACAACAAGAGAAAGGTTTTAGTACAGTCAAAGCTCTATTTATGGAGAAATGTTTTGGAGAGATAGAGGATAATCAACGACGCTCGTATGTATGGAACTCGGTTGCTAAATCCGAGAGAGCAGTATAAAACATTTTAAAATAATTTAGAAAGAAAGGGCAAAACATGCTTGCATGTGCCTGTTCATGCCTACGTTTCGTTTTTTGTGCAATAAGAACGAATGAAGGCACGTGCCTGACAGATGAGGGCCCTTTAGGAAGTCTACTTTTGTGGGGTTACCTTGAAAGAAATTACCAAAAGAGGAATGCTTCCGACTAGAAAGTATTAGGATCATACAGCATGTAATGAGAGAAAT